CCTTTTCTCTGAGGCACCTCTGGGTGGAGTCAATCTGCCAATCTTTCAGTTAAATAACCAAGTCCTTAACCATCTGCACCACCCTTCTTGTATTCTTTAGTGTTTTCTATGTTCCAATTTCCCTGTTATAGTTAGTAATCCTATTAAACTTTTTCTGTTAGAAATACTGTGTGGTTTCTGTCTCCTGACTGGATGGACCCTGACAGACATACTCTGTCTTTATTCTGCCTTATTTTCTTTGTGGTGACGGCTGTTAGGTGTCGTAGAATCAGTTCCAACTCATAGCAACACTACGGCTAACAAAATGAAACATTGCCTGGTCCTGTGCCATCCTCACAATCGTTCCTATGTTTGAGCCCATTGTTGCAGACACTGTGTTAATCCATCCTGTTGAGGGTCTTTTTATCATTAACTGAAATTACATTATTTGTATTTGATTACTTTTCAATTATCAGTACCTTCCGTTAGATGTAAGTTCCATGAAGGCAGAGACTTTGATTCACTACTGAACGAATCTTCAGTACCTAGCACAGTAACTAGTCATGACGGATTAACAACAAACATTTGCAACTGACTGAATAAATGATCTTTGGTCACAGTGGACCAAATTATATTTTTAGAATTTCAACTCTTGGATTATATCAAATGAAGAAATATGTATCTTGCAGGTATCTGTTCTCTAACACAAAGACCTATACCCTCATTCACTCATACCATTCAATGTCTCTGCTCATGGTGTTCCTTAAGGCTTCACCCCAAAATTAGTAAATAACCTTGTAAGTGTGAAAACTCCACTTTACTGCCATTTAAACCTGTGAGACTCAAGTAACACAACACAGAACTCTCCCTATTCTGTAAACATTTTACAAGGGGAGGACAGCCACTACTGAGTGGGGTGGCAGAGATGGATAGCTTTCCTCATGCCTTGCCCACAAATGCTGGCAAGCTGCCAAAGAGTAGTAACAGTTGCTACTGTCCAAATTAAACTTTTGACACCTGTGGTTTAAAACACCCAAAATATTCTTTAATACTAATAATCTAATACTTCAGACCCATTAATTCAAAACACATTTGGAATAGAAAATTTTAACACTTTCTATTAGCAACCAGTCTGTAACTTTTTATCGTTCATCAACCATTGCATCCGAGTCTCTAGCTCATTATCTCTCTTATGTACGTACATAAAAATACTTTCCACTGAATCTCTTTAAACTTTTGTGTAGGCCCACTTAAGTTGGATTTTGCCCTATTTTGCCACATATTGTGGCCTTTCTTATTTTCTCTTGGGAATACTGTAATAATGTAGTGGTTCCTGGAAAGTTAAAAAAGATACCAGTACACTGGGAAGTCTAAGGGCTTTTTGCTTGAATTCATACAAAACTGCCAGAAAACAGTCAAACTCTGTTTTGGTTCCCTCTCCCTACTATTTTCTGATTTGTCTCTGCTGATTTGAGAGATAGGAAAGTAGAGAATACCAAAGGGCACAAAAACGTGAAATAGGTGAGTATGAGGTTTTTAGGGGAAATCATCTGGTCTTCCGAAGCAATCTGAGACAAAGGTAAGAAAACTGAAGAACAGAGACAAAGGTAAGAAAACTGGAAAAACAATCACCTTCCAGTTCTTTCCTTCTTTTATACTGCTTAATTTGAACATACACTAAGTATTAAATTTCAGGATCAGTAAAGACTGTTCTTCACTACCAATAGCAAGAACTTCCATTTAACCTCCACAACCTCTTGCCCCTGAATATCAAGTTTCCTAAGTGGCTTCAAAGCTAAACTGTGCTGTCTTCAGGACCTTGTTACATTCAAAACAGCTTTAGGTTAACTAGCAATACTATCTCTGTCCTGGCTGTAGCATCAGGCTGCCTACCAGAGCCAAGAGTAGCTATATAAAATTTTCAAGCTATAGGAAATGCCACCCCAAAGGAAATTCCATGGAGGAGAATATGGGACAAATCGAAATATGTACAATGTATGTTTTCTTAAAGACACTCTAGGACTAAAGATGTTCCTATTTTTTTTTTTACTGTCAGTAACACATTTAGTACAATTTAGACTGCTTAGCTTACTATATTTCTATATTTAACGAGAATGATGTGTTTTCAGTTTTCAATTTTGTTATATTACAAGCTTTAAGGAAAACTAAAGTTACATATGTCTTCAGAAATATTAAGCCAAGTTTGCCAAACTGCAGTTGGTAAGAATCTTCTCCCCTTAATTTATACTTAATGAGAGGAGTAAATTATTTTCCACAAGTGAAAAGAAAACGCATAAAAGATTGCCTGGTTCCCAAAACATCTGCTGCTTCTAAAAGGCCTTAATATGATTTTAGCTAAGATAGTATAAATGCTAAATTACCTCAACAGTAAATTCAGCAAAACAAATTTGAAGGACACCAGAAACAACTATAAACAGTAACTTTCAAAAGATGAGAATAATTTATTTTTTTTCCGTCTAACGTCGTTTAATTAAAGTTTTACCTTTCAGCGTTAACAATGTTTTTAGAAAAATCTGTGGGAGAGCAAGAGAGACAGCTGCCCTAAGCGATTAGGCTCACCCTTACACAGCTTTTATCCAGAACTGAATCTATAACACAGGCAATATTCTGGCATAAATCTAAATATAGTGCCAACCTACATTAAATGTAGTACTGTTAATGGAAGGCTGATCTAGGAGCTGGGAAATGCACGTTAGGGTCCCACCTCCAATTTTGACTGGCTGTGTAATTATTAATACGTAATTTAAGACTCAAATCCTCATCTATACAAGGATGATGCTAAACTAGCTGATCTCTACAGTTCTTTTTCAGGCATGATTCTATCTTTATCATTCCTACCACTTCTATTAAGTCTTCCAGGAATTTCACTGATTCATCCAACATTTATTAAGCACCTACTGTGTCCCTGGCACAGACACTGTCTTCTGCCCTCACTGGGTTTCCATTTTAACTGTCCCTTTGGTGTATTAGAAAATGCGTACTGTACTACTTAAAACATAAGCTTAGACTTAATAATGGGATAACAACAAGAATTAGTTTTAAGTAGCTTATCTGGCTTAGGATCCATAAAATGATGCATTTATGAATTAGTACGAAACTCTCCCCATGTGACATTGCCCATAAAATATTATTGAAATATTTTGGCTAGTAAAGATATAGTAAACCCGGCACTGACATAATGCCCTTTAATTAAATCAACTACCAACATACTTAGGTACCTTTTCTAGGCAGTAAAAACAAGAAAGCCCACCCAAACCAAAAAGGTATGATAAAATCAGGTTGGGGGGAGGCAGATCTCAGTTCAAGCTCTAACATGAACACACATGGCTGAGTAATAGCAGTTTGTGATGATCCATTCTTGTCAACTTTTAATCCTTCTGACTGATGAAAAGCATGAGACATCTGTTTATTTTTAAGTACATGCTGGCTTCCTTATTTTCACTTTTCTTTGTACAATTGTACAGAATTCATCAGATGCTTATGGATACACAACATAAAGCTAGCCCCCCCCAAAAAAAAGATGACTCAGTTAATAATACTGACCTAAAAAAAAATTAAATCCTAGAAAAGAGATAATAAACAAATTACAGTAACGCAAGGCAGAAAAAGGTCTTAATAGTAGCCAAAACTTCATATACTCAATATGGTGCTTCCTGTTAGTAAAAGTAAATAAAGCCAGGAGTTCCTATTAACAGAGAAAGAAGGGAGAAGAAGAGTAGGTAACAATTACCCAGCAGCTAACAGGTGACAGGCACTATGCAGATAGTTTTCCTTTACTCTTAGCAAGTACTCTACACATGAAAATATCCCCAACTAGGGTGGTCGCCTACAATAAGAGAAATCCACTCCTCTTCACAAAATGATTCCAACAGACTAGCAGTGTATTCTAAGGCAAATGCACTGTTGATGTAAATATCTTATCATTCTGCTTAGAATCTTAGTATCTAGAGCAAGAAGGGGTCTTGGTCACCTAGGCAACCCATTCACCTTATGGATGATTAAATTTAGGCCAGAAAAGATAAGCGGCTCGACTAAGGTCATCCCTGTTTAATGGCAGAGCAAGGATCAAACAAATACTCAAGGCATCCATATACCGCCATCCTGGTAAATGTTCAATGAAATGTAGTGATTAATTTTAGCTCCTCACTAAGTTACTGAACATTAGTATTTTTATTAAAATAATCATAAAACACCAATTACACAAATAGCCCAGAATCCCCAAAGAAGTATCTGCCATTTTCTATATAATAATTTAAAAACCTATTGATAAGCAGCAACCTGGGTTTGAACATTTGCCTACTTCCCTAACTGCTGTCCTCATAAAGATCCCAGACGCAAAGCGGGGTGGGTGTGGGTGTGGGTGTGGGTGTGTGGGTGTGGGTGTGTGTGTGTGTGTGTGTGTGTGTGTGTCTGTGTGTGTGCGTCTGTGTGTGTGTGTGTGTGTATGCATGTGTATGTGGATAGTGAGGGAATCACGTCGCTAAAGTAAAGATTTCCGCTGATAAACCGCGTTGACGATCCGTACACGGGGCTCCCTGTCCCGTCAGCGATTCGTAACCCACGAGCCGCGCGGGAGAACGAAGAATGAGTGTGCAGTAATGTGGCTCCCGCACCCACGGCTAGTCGGCTGCCCTCACGTCGCCGCCCCCATATCACCGTCCCCGGGCCACTTCGAACGCCGGCTGGGCCGGCCCGTTACGGGGTAGTGGGCCTCGTGCGGGAGGCCCCTCCCCCACCGCGGCCGCGGCCTGCCGGGCTGCCGCGGCTCCCCGCGCGAACAATACAGGGTGTCCCCGCGAGGCCGAACGCCAACGACACGCGCCGCACCGCCACCCCGCGCCGCGGGCCTCTTAGAGCAGCGCTGAACCGCAGGCCAAGGGACACAACCTCGCGTGAGGCAGCGAGGGAGAAAGAGAGAGAGAGAGAGAGAGAGACAGGGAGGGGGAGAAGGGGAGAGGAGGCGGTTAGTGTCCAGGGGTTGGAGGCCGCCGTCCCCTGACCTGTACCTGGCTCCAGGTGATGAACTCGTTGGTGTGGGCCTCCTCCACAAGAGTCCACAGCTTGCTAAGGAAAGCCGGCACGTTCGAACTCTGCTTCATTGTTAATGAGGCGCAGGGATTCCAAATTCTACACCCGAACGAGCTGGTAGCAGCAGCGGTGGCAGCTGCTCCCCGAGACCGTCCACAACGCAGGCGCAGCAGCTCTCGGGCCCCGCCCCCCGAGCCCCACCAGGCGCGCAGCGAGGCTGGGAGGCCCGGCCGCCGCACGTGACGGACAGGTCTCCGCTGTGGGCCCGCGCGCGGCTCCCGCGCCGGTCCCTTTTCTGGCCAATCCCAGGCGCGGAGCACATCGACAGAGAAAAACGATTGGATGCTGCAGACGTGAGGGAGGTGGGAGCATAAGGGGGCGCTGCCTTCTTATTCGCCTTTTATACAGGGCCTTCTGTGTAGCGGACTTGGGTTTAGGGGAGCAGTGTTTGGTTCTTTCACGTGGAAGCCGCCTTGTGTTCCTAAGTTGTCCTTGAGAGGCCGCAAAAAGACCTCCGGGGCCTTTGAGTCATGAGTTTGGCAGGCAAAGTGTGGTTTGCACCAGTCTAAAGGTAGGAGTGGAATATAATAATTCACATGGAGGAAAACACAGCAGCTTCAAGTATGATGTGCTAGGCCTCAAGTTGAAACTTAAAAATAATGAACCTTGTTCTCTCCCTTAATTTCCCATTAGGAGAAAATGGCCTTTTAAAAATATGCTTCTGAAAAAGAGAAATTTAAATAATAGCTCACTCCTTATTAAGGACCTTTTGTAGGGTCGCTATGAGTCGCAATCAACTGGACGGCGACGGTTTTTTTTTTTTTTTTTAAATTGTGAGCCAGGAACTGTAATAGGCACGTTGCTTGCTTTTCTCATTCAGCAAACATGGAGTGCCCACTGTATACCCAGCATTTAAAAAAAAAAAAAAAAAGGCTCATTCAGACTATTGTAGTCAGTTAAAACAACTGTTCCTGCATATATTTTACAGTTACAGTCTTGTTTGCCTGAGATAGTTTGTTATAGTGGAAAAAAATATTGGATAACAAGGAGTTAGCAGATCTTAGTTTAGACCCAGCTTTGTGTACCCTTTAGCGTGTACTTATTTACACGGGTACTGTGTAATTTGGAGCAGTCTACTTGTCTATATGTGCCAGTCTTCCTTATCTCTTCATTGAGAATAAGAATATTTGTCTTCTCAACCATGTAAGAGTAGCTTTGATAACATGACAGATGTGAAATGCTTTAAAATATATTCTCCAAAATTAAACTTTCAAGCCAGTCAGCGATGAAAGTAGGTGACGATTTCCCTCAGACACTACCCCTCTGACCTGATCTGTTGCCCTTCGTGGACAAGCCATGCTTATGTAAATCTTTGCTCATCTGTTGTCTTCCTTCCTTTTAATTATCCAAATGCATTTGTACTTCAAGACCTAATTTAAGGTCCCCATGGTTCATGAAGTCTTCCCTTACCACCTTAACTCACTAACCTCTGTCTCTTCAAACTTTTCTGGTACTTGTTTTATACCATAAAATTTAGCTCTTGTTTTGTTCTAATATTAATGTATTTTCATCTAAAAAAAGACAAAGTTGTGGTTAGATGCAAGCAGAAACCCCCCTTCGCAGAACTTCCAACAAGGTCCAGTGGCTTGGGTATGCAACCTGTGCAATTCAAGGGGCCTCGTACGCTTGGCTTAATGTTCTGCTCTCACTGTCTTGAAATTTTAAATAATTTTTTTTAACAAGGGACTGCACATTTGCACTGGGCCCTGCAAATTGTGTAGCCAGCCCTGCTTGTAATATATTACGCCTTCAGGCCAGTGGTCCTCAAACTTTAAGGAGCGAGGAGACTACCAATAAACAAATGAACAGGTTTCATTTATCAGGTAATAATGATACTCATAAAGCCAGCCAAGGGGATATGTTATTAACCAGATGAGGAAACCATGGCTGATGTTGAAATCAAAACTACGTCTTCTTAGTCTAAAGTGTATGGTTTTTGTCTTTACAACAGTGGGTCTTAAACTTCAGCCTACATCAGAATCACCTGGAGGGCTTGTTAAAAAACAGATTGCTGATACCCCTCCTCCCATACCTCCTTCTATCTGCCCCCTCCTTCTGTCCCAAGTGTCAGATTTAATAGGCCTGGTATGCAGCCTGAAAATTTGCATTTCTAAAAAATCCCCAGATGATGCAGATGCTGCTGCACCTAGGACCACACTTAAAGAACTATTGTTACAGAGGAAAAATTAGTAAACTGACCTTCCCTTGCTAACATGTACAGACTTGTTGTTACCCCTCACCTCTTAACAAAATCCAGACATTCCAGGAATAATTTAAACTACTGTGTTTTCTTTTTCAATGAATGTAATCATTAACATTTATTCTAATTACTAACGCTGTCTCAAAACTTTTAAGTATTGACTAGGATTTTTGCCTTGTTTGCACTTATTTATAGAACTGAGGGGAAGAAAAACAAATCAAGCTTTTTGTCTCACAATTATTTGCCACTTATAATATTCCACAGATATCAGAAGAAATGGATTTGAGCCCGTGTCAACAGTTTTGTTTACAATATTAGAGGATAATAAAGTCAGTTTCTTAAAGTGAGTTGCCTCCTGTTTAATCCAAATTTAAAAAGTTGGAATATTTCCATGGGTCATTTGCACCCTGGAGTGTAAGATTTAGAAGCTTTAGAATAATATTAGAAAATGTGAGTGACTCAGGCCTTTATCTAGAAAATAGAAAAACATTGTAGAGCAATTTGGTGCTTCAAAGTGGCTGATTCAGATTGCTACAAATTCTATCCAGCCAATTATGTAAAACTTAGTTGGAATCAGCAGTGCAAATAGAATTAACTTAAAGATTATTTTCAAGGATAGGATGACTGAAGCCAAAGATGAACTGCTTAGAGGTTTCCACCTACATTTCTATACAGACCAAGTGGTGATTTTCTTCAATTTTTGAATGACCTAAGAGACCTTAGATAAGTCACTTCACATCTCTGAGCCCTAGATCCTTATATATGTTTTTCTTGTTGTTGGGTGTCATAGAGTTGATTTTGCCTTATAGTGACCCCATGTAACAGATAGAACTGCCCCATAGGGTGTTCTAGCCTGTAATCTTTATGGAAGCAGATTGCCAGGTCTTTCTCCCGCAGAGCTGCTGGATGGGTTCAAACTGCCAGTCTTTCAGTTACCAGCTGAGCGCTTAACCATTTGTGCCACCAGGGTTCTTCTTCCTTATATATAAGCTGTTAATAAAAATACCTGCTGTACTCTGCAGAGTGATTGTGAAGCTCAAATAAATTGCTTCTTCTTCTAGTCCACCCTCACTATAGACATTTTTCTAAAACACAAATCTGAAAAGGCCACTTCCTGACTTAAAACCCATCAGTGGATTCCCATAATTCTATGATAAATCCAAACCCCTTAGGGTGGCATAAAAGACCTTTTTTTTTTAAATCGAGGTGAAAATGTACACGCTAAAGTTTTGTCAATACAACAACTTCTACATTTACAATTCAATGACATTGATTACATTTTTCATGTTGTGTCACCATCATCACTATCCTTTTCTAAAAGATTCCACCACCATTAATATAAACTCAATGTCACCCAAACAAAAACTTCCACTTTCCCTCTGCCTCCTATCCCTGGTAACCATTAATAATCTTTGGTTTCCATACGTTTGCTTATTTCATATGAGATCTTACAGTATTTGCCCTTTTGTGACTGACTTTGCTCAGCATAATGTTTTCAGAGTTCACTCATGTTGTGGCATGCATCGGAACTTCATTTCTCTTTATGGCTGTTTAATATTCCATTGTATGTATATACCACATTTTGTTTATCTGTTCATCTGTTGATGGACATTTCAGTTGTTTCCATCTTTTGCCTATTGTGCTCCAATAAGCATTGGTATACAGGTTTCTGTTTGTGTTCTTGCCTTCACTTCTTCTGGGTATATACTCAGGATTGGGATGGCTGGGATTATATATTCAACTTTTAGAGGAACCACCAAACTGTTTTTCACAGTGGCTGCACCATTTTACATTCCCACTACAATGGATGAGGGTTCCAGTTTTTACCAGTTGTTTTCTGTTTGTTTGTTTTTTTTAATCATTGCCATTCTAATGGGGGTGAGGTGATATCTCATTGTGGTTTTGGTAGTGCAGTGGTTAAGTGCTTGGCTGCTAACCAAAAGGTCGGTGGTTCAAACCCACAGCGGCTCCGCAGGAGAAAGATGTGGCGGTCTGCTTCCATAAAGATTACAGCCTTGAAAACCCTATAGGGCAGTTCTACCCTGTCCTGTAGGGCCATTATGAGTTGGAACTGACTCAACAGCAATGGGTTTTCGGATTTTTAACGGCTAATGATGTTGAGCATTTTTTCATGTGCTTGCTGTCCATGTGGTTATCCCCTTTGGTGAACTGTCTGTTCAAGTCCTTTGCCCATTTTTTGAGTGGGTTGTTTGCTTTTGTGTTGTTAAGTTGTAGAAGTTACATGTATGGTTAAGTGCTCGGTTGCCAGCTGAAATGTTGGCGGTTTGAATCCATCGGTCGCTCCACAGAAGAGAAGACCTGGCTATCTGCTCTAGTAAAGATTACAGCCTGGGAAACCCTATGGGGGTAATTCTACCTTGTTTTTTTCTTTCTTTCTTTCTTTTTTTTTTTAGGATAGCTATGAGTTGGAATCGACTTGATGGCAACCAACAACAACAACATTCAATATATGATTCCCAAAATTTTTCTCCCAATCTGCAGATTGCCTTTTCACTTTGTTTGTAAACTCCTTTGATATACAAAAACTATTTAATTTTTATGAGGTCTTGTTTATCTATTTTGTCTTTTGCTGCTCAAGCTTTTGTTTTTATATCTAGTAATCTATCATTAAACACTAGGTAGCACAACCTCACCCCTACATTTTCTTCTAAGAATTTTATGATTTTAGTTTTCACATTTAGGTCCTTGATCCATTTTTTAAAATAGTGTTTTATTGTGTTTTAGGTGAAAGTCTATACAACAAATAAGGTCCCCCTTCAACAGATTTTTATACAATTTGTTCCATGCCATTGGTTACAAATTTTTACAATGTGTCAGCATTCTCATTATTTTCATTCTGTTTGTACTGTTTCCATTGATCTAGCTTCCCTTCCCTTCCT